TGGGACAGGGGCTGCCCATGCACCACGTGATGTGCCGGGGGCGGGGCCAGCCCACATTGTTGGCGGGCGCACATAAATGGCCCGGCAGGCGCCATGGCGCTCGCAGGCACTGCGTTGGGGACCACTGACATAGATCGTATACCTTTCTGACAGTAGGATAGGTAGGGCAACGGTTCCGATTTTGTCTCCTTTCAGAGATGGCTAGGCTTTGGTGAGGAAAGTGACCCACCACAGAATGCACGCCTGGGCATTCAGACAGAAAACATCCTAGACTCGACCAAAACTAGTACTCTGAGCTATTGCTCCCCTTTGTGATTCAGAGGAGATCTCCGTAAACATCCATAAAATTACCTCATTAACCTGCTTCAAATACCTCCTCACATCTCTTCTTTGTCATGATTGCTAAAAAACAAACAAATGGCATATACAATTCTCATCATTATCATCATCATCAACAACCATGGGCTCAATGCCCGTTGGTGTCTGATGCCTCCCTAACCATTTCCTTCCATCTTTCCCTGTCCAGTGCAGAGTGGCTTAGTTTCTGTAGACTATATCCGCACCAATCTACTATATCATCTATCCACTCTCTGTGGAGTCTGCCTCTCCTATTCGGACCATATACAATGCTGCTGGTGTGCAAAGACCACTCCCTATGTTGTGGATGGATAATTTTTCACGCTTTCCTTCTGTTTGTCCATCTGTTTATCTGTATATTTCTATTTATTTCTTGTTTTATACTTAGAGTGTGAGGTTTATTGCGAGGGGCAGGGACCACTTTTTGTTGTGTGTTTGCACAACCCCTAACATAATGCCCATGATTAGGGCTCCTAGACGCAATGATAATGCTCATAAACATGTATCCTATGCATCCATACCCACCTGGGCTTTAACTTAAGCCACATCAGGCCCTCTGTCTTTAAACCCTTGAAATATTTTTCACCATTTTTTGCCTTCTCAAATATTTTTGTTCTTCCTGTCAACAAAGTTGTGTGCTGTAAAATGAACTTGACAAGCAGCGAGAGTATAAAATGTAAGCAGCTGCTGATTTGTTTAAAGAGGAAACAATGTTCAAGATATTAGAGTGCAAAATTATTTCAGTTCAGGCACAGTGAACTTTTTTTTTGTTAATTTCCTAATGCAAATACTATTTTAAATGGATCAAAATCCCTGATTAAGGCACTATTTGCACAATCACTGATACAGATTTGGAGCCTCATTAAAATGTATTTGCAAATTGCCTGAATATTTTATTTATTCAATAGATTGAAAGTGTTTGCAGTAATGAAGTATACTTTGTAAACAATAAAGGATCGATCATCCCTTCACCACACTGGTGTGTGAGTGAGGAAATTCAGAAATAGTGCCATACAGTCACAACAACATCCATCCTCTTTGCAAACTCTCCTGTGTTCAGTGAATTTGCCCAGTTCCACTATTCTGTGGAGAAGGAGGTGAGCCCTTGTTATCTGGGCTAGCTAAGTGAAGTCCCTGAAATCAGGTGAATTCAGTGATTATGACTATGTAAGACACCACCACAAATTGAAGAAGGTTCTGTGAGGTCAGCACTTCTTCTAGACATTCACCCTTACACCAATTGATCACAGTGTCTCTCTTAATTATTTTCAAATAGTTGTATTATTCTCTGACTGGATTACAAAAATAGGGCCCAATATTGCACTCTTTTAATAGAAGTTTTGCATGCATTAGAAATACAAGATTGGTGCTGTAGTGGATGAAGGAAGCAGGAGATCTACATATTTGAATTTGATGAATGTATTTGAAACTGTCATCCAATTATAAAAAGTTAACTCATTGTGGCTCTAGGTAAGAAAGCTTCCATGTTCTCTGATTATTACAACATCCTACTTTCTGGCATTGACAATTGCAGTCTTGAGCCACTCACATGCATTCAGAATGCACTTTCCTAGCTTGTCATTTTGCCCAAGTTACCTCCTTCTTTGAACACCTAACTGGCTCTTTTTACTATCTCAGACATAAGCTTCTTGTGTTTACTTTCAAGGTTTTAATCCCGCCCATTACCTCTTATTTGCTATCTTGTTGTCAGTGCTAGCTTCTGATCAGCCCATTGATAGCACCTGCTTGCCTTCTTAAATTTTCAAACAAACACCTTCATGATTTCTTCCATGCTGATCCATAAGCTTAGGAAGTGCTCCTCTACAAACCTGCCTCAGAAGCCACCTTCATTTACCTTCTCAAAACTCTCGATTGTGGTGATGCTCACAAAAAAAAAATCTTGGTAGTGGTTAGACTGTTAGTAGACTGACACCATTGCCTATCACAATGATTAATAGGACCTCATTTTTCCTTGTACTCCCCTGTCTGTGTTTATCATCTATTCTCTTGTCTTTTTAATCAAATTGTAAGCTCCTTTGGGCATGGGTCTGCTTTTTGTTCTGTGTTTGTAGAGTTCTTATCACAATGGGGTTCTGGTCCATGACCAGAGTCCCTACCCACTACAGTGATACAAATAAATAATTGTAGTAATAATAATAACAACAGTAATATGTTTCATTTCAGGCTGGAAGGTGATTGAAAGTGAAGGTAATGAGAAAGTGTGATGGCTATCAAGGGAGGAAGATATCTAAGGCGGATCCTACACATATCAACATTGACTGAACTTATTTATCATCTTCATGAATGATCTTTTCCATGAGCCCATAGACTTTGGGAAGTTTTGGGTAGACACAGCAGTCTTCCTGTGCACTAGCAGTTGCATTGTCAGGCTTTTGGAACACTAATAAAATTCACCAGTGATGTTGTATATCCAGTGTTGCAAATACTACTGAGGACAAATTGTACTGATATAGAAATTGATCTATAAACATTAGAAATATGTCAGGAAATAGCAAAATGAAGCTCAATTGGGAAAAAAAACCCAAACATATACAGCTTGCAAAAATCTTCAACATAGATATTCAATAGATGGGACAAATTTGACCTATTAATAGGAGTTTGAGCTTGTACAAATGAAGTCAGTTGGGAACAGAATTTGATCCTAAGGCTGAATTCTGCAAAATACTGAGCAGTCTGGCAGAGATCCAGGAAACCACTTAACCATGTGCTTAACTTTCCATACATTAGTTGACCTATTTGATTGGCTGGGTCTGGAACTAGAGTGTTCAGTACTTTCCAGGACTGAGACAAAAATAAAGAGGCCGCTGAAATTAATGATGTCTCAAAAATGCCAGGGGAAACTGAACTACAGATAAGTAAATACTTGTGGAACTTTAAAATGTAGAAATAAATGCAGCTGGATATTACGCATCATCAGTGTCTAGCTAACACTGGCAATTTTTTTAAAATTGTGAATTACAAGATTGGCAACAAAAGATTAGAGAGACGCAAACATAAAAAATAAGCTTCATATGTGTAGCTTGGATAAGTGGTCAATATAGGTGGGAGATGACCTAGGTCATCAGGAAACTAAAATTCATCAACTCTAAAAATGTAGAGGAATTAATTAATAATGTGACACTTCATATTAATAAAATTAAATTAAGAAAGGAAATGTTTTAATTGACCATCTGGAAAACTTCATAAAAATTAATGTATAATGGAAATAATCCTAGATTGATTGGGACTGAGGCTAGGTCTACACTAGGGGATAATTTGAATTAAAATACACAACTCCAACTACATTCATTTCTTAGCTGTGTCAAAGTACCTTAAATCAAATTTTGGTGCTGTCCACATTGCAGAAAGTCAAAGGGAGTACATTCTTCCTTCTACTTCCCTTACTCCTCCCTGATCCAGACTACCAGCATTGACGGAGGTGCCCTCTCAATTTGAATTCTTCACTATACCCACTAATTCATACCCCGGAAAATTGATTGCAGCAGCTTTGATCTTCTCTGTAGTGTAGACATGTCCTGAATGACCTTCTAGGATTTTTTCTCAAATCTGATTCTGTAACCTTTATTGGTTTCAGACTACATATTTATGAAAATAAAATAGATGTCTGCATAGAGAAATTTATGGAGGATAAGTCTATCAACGACTATTAGCCAGGATGGGCAGGAATGGTGTCCCTAGCCTCTGTGTGCTAGAATGGGTGACAAAGAGGGGATCACTTGATGATTACCTCTTTTGTTCTTTCCCTCAGGAGCACCTGTCATTTGCCACAGTTGTAAGACAGGATACTGAGCTAGATGGACCTTTGGTCTGACCCAGTAAGGCCATTCTTATGTTCTTATGCTTTAAAAATGTAAATAAAAAGCTGTTAAACTTTGCCAGATTGCTGGGAATACATTCTAATAACTTTGGAATTGTATAAAAATGTTACATTCAAGTTTCAGTAAATCTTATTTAATATAAGAAAATCAGGAAATTATAAGTTAAGTTTAGGAAATATTTAAAAAAACAATGAATAGTCTAGTAGCACCTTAAAGACATATAGAGTATATCTAGACTACAGGCTTTTGTCGACAGAGGCTTTGTCGACAGATAATGTTGACAAAGCTTCTGTTGACAGAGAGCATCTAGACTACATCCAGTTCTGTCGACAAAGCAAGCCACTTTGTCAACATGAGAGTGTAGACGCAAAGGACAGTGTAGATGCAATAACGCCTTCTGTCGACAGAACTCTGTCGACAAAAGGTGTTATTCCTCGTAGAATGAGGTTTACTGCCTTTGACAAAAATGTTGACAGAACTCGGTGGTAGTGTAGATGCAGGTATAGTTTTGTCCACATTTGTTGACAAAACCCTGTAGACTAGACACACCCGTAGATGGTACCATGCACTTTCGTGGGCAAAACCCACTTCTCCAGATGACTGATCCAAGAACCCATCATGATACTATCTACATGTTTTGTTAGTCTTTAAGGTACTACTAGACTATTTGTTGTTTTTTAAGTTTTTCCTTTTATAGACTAACTCGACTACCCCTTGAAGCTAAATTAAGAGTATAACTCATGTCATTATAGCCTTGTCTTCCCCTGTTATCTATGTGAGTTAAGAACTGAATACCATTCTTACCTTTGTCTCCTGACTACTGATTAAATCTGATCATTATTTTTACCTGAAAGCCGAGAATGTTATAATTTAATAAATGCATGCAACTGAAATTTGATAGACATTATTATAGCATTGAATAAACCAATTTATTTCTTTCCTGTATGTTTAAAAATTACCCTCCATTCAGCCTTTAGATTAGAGTGTCTCTAACAATTCAATTTATGAAGTGTTGATAAATGAAAGTATGATTCATTAACTGTAGAAAATCTCTACATGTTACTAAAGGTTATTTCAAGACCCTTGTATCCCTGGTGCACCACAGCAAATGTAGCTCAAAGTCAAAGATTAAAGAAACAATCAAAGCTTTACACAGTCAAATCCTTCATTATGACACAAAACTTACTAAAGCCATGCAGCTTAATTTGCTCCTTCATTTACTCTTGTGATTCTCCATGCTGTGCTGAAAAGGTCAGATTAAATGCAGGCAGCTACCTGTAAAGATGCAGAAGCTATCAGGACTGGCACAACAAAGCAGGAGTGAGGGAATCCAATATTTACTCTAAATGCCACATGGATGTGCTTGAGCCTGAGGTGGTAAACGGAAGAAAGAAGAACTGACAAGCACTTACAGTGAATTGGCTGTTATAATGGGTGTCACATCTGTGGCAGAATTTCTTTTAGCACCAGAATCCTGAGATGTGACAGTTTTAAACCATGAAGAGTTAAGAAGCACTCAAAGACCTGCTGTAAATAGCGTGTATTCAATGGCGTGACCTAGAGTCTTGTTTTAGGGCTAAAAATAGATTTTTAACAGTTGACATCTGTTTCCTTCAGTATTTACAGTGAGAAAGCAGTTACAAGGTAAAGTGGCGGTGACATATAATGTCCCCAGATGACGTGAAGTGGCAGCATTGTCTCAGCCTGAGGTAGCAAAAAAGACATTGTTTCCTAATTAAACAAATGGTAAACAGAAGTGACAACTGCCATTTTATGAGGGAAGTGCACCTGTTATCTCCAAATAAGATGGAAGTTGTTGTTTTTTCTAGGATCAGTAGTTAAAAATAAATTCAGCGCTCCAATAACAGGTGTAAATGAGACGCAGGTAGGTTTTGGCCTTTAGGCAACAAAATCTGGATTATTTTTTTTAAATCTGTTTACTAAAGATTTTCTATATAGAAGTCAATAGTGCAAAAATCAGCAGAAAAGAAGTGTAACATGCTGTGCACAGATGCAATGCACAGAGAAAAAAATGCAGCCTTGGTCTCTAACATATGGACAAATAACAATTGTTGTTTGTTTATAGCTGTGTCCATTCTGTGCAAGGTGTGTTTCAAACAGGGCAGATGGACGTCCTCTGTTCCCAGGAGATCGCAACTTAAAGACAAATAAATACAAGTACTTTTGTTCCAAATCAAGCAATTTAAAGACACATTTAAGCTTCAGATTTTTTTTTTTAGCAAAATGAATGGATACTATATAAAACTGGAGTCAAAATGAGCACCTCTCCAGCTGATTTAACATGCTTTTATTTTTATTTTTTATTTTCCTAAAAGCAGATGGGCTCTTGTGATGCTGGGGAAAATATGAGAAGAACTTGAAGTGGAAGGCAAAAATTAATTGTAAATTCGATAGGTATTTACCAGTTTTATTTAATAGTGCTTTAACTGAAGTGGCATAAAAGAATGTGCCATACTACCATAGCATATCCCTCTCCCCACACATTAGCAATAAAAAGGATTTTCTAAAGCTCCCCAGGGTTAAATACTTTGTCCATAATATGTAAGAGCTGGGGCACAAATCAGGTTGTGACAGAAAGATTTGTTATAGGCAGTGGGGGAGGAAAGAAACGTCTGTTGAATCCAGGAGTCATCCAGGCCCAGAAGTAAGGGGACTAAGGAGGATTGTGAGTGGAAATAGAGGAGAGAAATACAGAATACAGACTGCTTGAGAGGAAGGAAAATTAAGTGAGAGAAATAAAGAAGAGATCAAATGGATGAAGATGAGAGTCACAGTTGCAAAGAAAGGGATAAAAATCAGGGGTGCTGGCACCAATGTATAGTGGGTGTGCTGTGAACCACTGAGTCCATCTGTAAACCCAGTTATGTGCTGGAAACCTCTTCTAGTCAGGAGTGTGTGGCAGCACTCCACCCCTATTTCCTACACTTATGAAAGAAATGCAGAAAAGAGGGGAAAAGCGGAGCGAGAAGGTCAGTTTGGAGCAGTCTCTTTGCTGACCCTAATTTCTCTTACATGCTAATAGTTTCCTGTCTTGTGGTGAAAGTGAAATGTTTTAATGTTCTTGCTTTATGTGCATGATAAAAACAACTGAATCGTCTTACTGTATGTGGAGTCTTACTTGCTGAGCATAATTGGGCCATCACCCTATGAGGTAGTGCAAGTAGGGAGACTCCACATACAGTTATCTCAAGGCGACAGAAATAGGAATTCCTTACCCAGTCATTTGCTGCCTTTTGTTCTATAAGGGCTCCAAATATCTGAGCCCCGGAGATCTAAATGTCATCCCCCACAAAAAAACCATAGCACCAGAAGGAATGGAAATTGGGAGAGAAAAATCCTTGCTCTCAAATGATTGCCAGGTGCCTTCCTGATTGAGGAGACATTCATTTAACACACTGGTGGCAAACTCATTATGTTATATATTTTAATGACATAAAGGATCAATTGAAATGCTAAGTCTGGTTTAAGCACACCAGGAGTGGGAACAAAGTTTTGGCTCATTGTGGTCATCAGTGAAATAAAGAATCTTGAGAATAATTGCAATCCAAAGAGGGTGCTATGTCAGTAACTTTTTCCAGTGCAGGCACCAATACTTGATGCTTGAGATTAGGTTCAATGAGATTTAGTTAAAGTACAATGGGGCCTGATGCAGGAGTTGTGGGTGCTCAGCATTATGGAAAATCAGGCAGTATATTTAGGTGCCTAAATATGGATTTAGGATCCTATATTTAGGCACCCAAGTATGAAAATATTCATTTTTCATGATGAGCGAAAGCCATCTGATCTACTATTCCTGAGCTGAGAAGCCACTTTTGTTTTCAACAAGCAGAGAATCACCTTTTAAATATATGTACGTTACTTGTTTTTCACCTTGTGAATATCAGTACAGTCCTCCCTGTCCTCAGAATTTCCGAATAAAAAACAATAGAGCTTGAAAGTCAAGCTCCCAACTTGCAAATTCAGTTCAAGAATAAAAATACTAGTAAAAATCAGGTTAATCGCAACTTAAATATTTATATTGGTGAAAACTTCTGGAGTTATAATGTCATTCTCAGTATTTGTGGAGAAATCCTCCAAAATTCCCATTTCAGGAAAGATTAGGACAAATTGGGGATAATCTAGAGAAAAGCAGCAATATTAATGATTAAAGCTCTAGACAACATGACCTATGAGGGAAGACTGAAAAATTGGCTTTCTTTAATCTACAGAAGAGAAGACAGATGGAGGGATGAGACAATAGTTTTCAAGTGCATAGAAGGTTGTTGCAAACAGGAGGAAGAAAAAAATACTCTCTTTAACCTATGAGAAAGTACAAGAACCAATAGGCTTCAATTTCAACAAGGGGAGTTTATATTGGATGTCAGATGGGTGGACACAGGTTGGAAAAGCACTGGAATAAATTACCTTGAGAGGCTGTGGCTGCTACTGGGCCACTCCAGTTTGTTTACTTCCCAGCTCAGCCACAAATTGCATAGCTTATTTCAAAATAGTGAGCATCTACACAGCACTTATTCTGAAATAGAGCACTCTTCCTCTGCCTTCCCTTACTCCTCATACAATAATAGGAGTTAGAGTAAGAAGTCCTCCTGCTTGACAGTATTTCAACATTATTTCAAAATAACTACCTGCTGTTTTGATGCAGGCTAAGTTATTTTGAATTAATATTGCTATGTAGATGTACCTTTAATAACCAGGAAACCACACCAGACTGAGGCTACATCTACTCTGCAGGCTTTTTGCGCAAGAAGCTTTTGGTGGAAGACATTTTCCGCAAAAACTTCTTGCGCAAAAGTGCATCCAGACTACAAAAGCATATAGCAATAGCGATGTGCTTTTGCAAAAGAGAGCATTCACACTGCATGGATACTCTTGCTCAAGAAAGCTCTGATTGCCATTAACAGAATGGCCATCAGAGCACCTGTACTTTTTCTGATAAGCTCTTTTTGCACAAGAAACCCCTACTGAGCATCCACTCACACCTTTTTGCACAAGAACTCTTGCACAAAAAGGAGTTATGCCTCATAGAAAGAGGTATACCTACACTGCAAAAAGCCCTCTGTTCTCCATTCTACTGTAAATTTTCTTGCGCAAAAACACGCTTGAGATGTGGACGCTCCACGGGTTTTTGCACAAAACTAGCTATTTTTGCACAAAAGCCCTGTAGTGTAGATGTAGCCAGAGAGGGCAGACTACTGACCAAGATGCTAAGTCTGGTTGGTAGTGCAGCAGGATTAAGTCAGGCTCTCTGCCTGCCTTAACTCTGCACATCACCTAGAGGAAATTAGCATATCTGACTCCTAGGATTAGGGCTTCATGCATTGCCCCCGCCTTGAGTCCTGGCTAGGCAAGAACCATGGCCAATGGGAGCTTTGGAGGCAGTGTTTTCAGGTATGAGCACTTTACAAATAACATAGAATCATAGGACTGGAAATTGCCCTTGAAAAGTTATCGATTCCAGTCCTCTGTATTCATGGCAGGAACAAACCCCATATTCTAGACCAGTGTTTCTCAAAATGCTCCTTGAAACCACTTTGAGAAACCTGCTAACTGGCTGTTCCAGTTGGTTTGACATGATTTGTTCTTTACTTACAGGCGCTGTGGCTATGGAGCCTCATGGCTCTCATTGGCTCTTGTTCATCATTTGCAGTCAAAGAACGGCAAACTAGAACCAATAGGAGGCTGAGGCTCCGTAGCCATGGTGCCGGTAAGTAAACACTCTGGAGCGGCCAGTAATCAAATTTCTCAAAGCGGTTTCTTGGACCACTTCGAGTAACAATGTTCTAGACCATTTTTCATTTGAGGCCCCCCATAGGAGCTGCTGAATTTAGTGGAGGAAATGGCCCCTTTAATTGTTGGGCCGCGGCCGCTCTCCTGCCAGTCCCTCCGCCTCATGTATGCCGAAAGCCAAGCCGAGAAGCCAAGATAAACAGCCAGCTGGATCCAAGTGCTGTGACCCCCCAGGAAGGCAGCCGTGACCCCCTTATCCCACAGGTTGTGCACCACTGTTCTAGATCATCCCTGTGAGGTGTTTGTCTAACCTGCTCTTAAATATCTCCAGTGATGGAGATTCTACAACCTCCCTAGACAATTTATTCCAATGCTTAACCCTCCTGATAGTTAGGCAATTTTTTTTTGTAATGTCCAACCTAAACTTCCCTTGCTGCAATTTAAGCCCATTGCTGCTTGAGCTATCATCAGAGGTTAAGGAGAACATTTTCTCTTCCTTCTCCTTGTAACAATCTTTTAGGTACCTGAAACTGGTTGTTATGTCCCATTTCAGTCTTCTCTTTTCCTAACTACACAAACTCAGTTCTTTCAATCTTCCCTCATAGGTTAGGTTTTTCTAGACCTTTAATATTTTTGTTGCTCTTATCTGGACTTTTTTCCCCCAATTTGTGCACATATTTCATGAAATGTGGCACTCGCAGCTGGACACAATACTGTTGATGCCTAATCAGTGTGGAGTAGAGTGAAATAACTACTTCATTAGTCTTGCTTACAACACTCTTGCTAATACACCAGAATGATGTTTTCTTTTTTTGCAACAGCATCGCACTGTTGACTCATATTTAGGTTGTGGTCCACTGTGATTCCTAGATCCCTTTCTGTAGTCCTCCTTTCTAGGCCATTGTTTCCCATTTCATATGTTACAACTGATTGTCCCTTCCTAAGTAGAGTTCTCTGCATTTGTCCTTATTGAATTATATTCTATTTACCTCCAATTATTTCTACATTTTGTCCAGATCATATTTAGAATTTTAAAACTATCCTCCAAAGCACTGGCAACTTCTTGCAGGAAACTTTATAAGTGTACTCTATACGCTCTTATCAAAGTTATTAATGAATATATTGAACGGAACTGGTCTCAAAACTGAACTTTGGAGAACCCCACTCGTTATGCCTTTCCGGCATGATTGTGAACCACTGATGCAACCTGTTATATACCCATCTTACAGTAGCTCCATCTAGGTTGCATTTCCTTAGTTTGTTAATAAGAAGCTCATATAGGACTGTATACAACCCATTACTGAAATCTAGAATTATCTCATCTAAAACTTCCCCCTTATACACAAGGCTTGCACTCCTGTCAAAGAAATATATCAGGTTGGTTTGATGTGATTTGTTCTTTACAAAACCATGCTGACTGTTACTTATCACCTTATTGTCTTCCAGAAATTTAAAATTAATTCCTTGATGTCAAGCGGCGGGCCCCCCCCGTCCACCTTTATGCCCCCACTCCAACGATTATAGCCCATGTTGGCGGGGTGAGGGGTCCGGACCTACCCTCTCTCCGGACCCCGACCCAGGGCCCTAACATCAGGAGCAAACCTCCTGATGGTAACAGGCGGGGGTGCACCCCCAAAACACGCCCGTTCTGAGGTTCCACGGCCCGCCCTGGGTCTCGTTCACCCCTCCTGGCCGTTACCGGCCAGCCTCTTGGCTCGTGTTCTCACCCTCCTCACCTCTCGTGACGCTTCTCCCTACCGCCCCCCCCCCTTCTGTCTTCCCCTGGGTCCTTTTTATCCGGTTCCTCGCCGGCCCCGCTGGATGCCCTCACTTCTGGGTGCCCCTCCCCACTCCGCTCGGGCACGCCTCTGACGTCGGCGCTCCCCCCGGGCGCGTCTTGAAGACGTGCCTTTGTCTCGGGTCCTAGCCGCCCCGGAGCGGCTGCCGGGGCAGCTATGGCCGCGACGCTGGTTCTTTCGCTGCCAGCCGTGGTTCATGGCGTTTGCGAGTGGCGGGGTTGCTTCACCCCGTCACACACCTCCCCCCTTTGCCTCTTGCCCGGATCTGTTCAGCAGAGGCCTCGCATCCCTCCCTCCGTTGCGTCCTCTTGCCCTTGTCCTTCTATACCTGTCGCTGTCTCCTGCTCATCACCCGGCAGTAGAGAGGCAATCAGCGTTCAGGTGCTCTTTACCTGGTCTGTGCTTTCTCTCAAAATGATATGGCTGCATGCTTAAATACCAGCAGAGTATCATCGCGTTTGTCTCTTTCATAGTTTGCATCCACTTCAGCGGCGCATGGTCAGTCATCAAGGTAAAGTGGTTTCCTATGAGAAAATATCGTAAAGAGTCTACTGCCCACTTAATGGCCAGCGCCTCCTTCTCTATCGTGGCGTAATGTTTTTCACGGGGAAATAACTTCCTACTTAAATACACCACAGGGCTTTCTACCCCGTCCTCCTCTTGTGCTAATACCACCCCAAGGCCCACCTCCGGTGCATCTGTATGCAGCACAAACGGTCTTTCAAAGTCGGGCGGTTGTAACACCGGCCCTGATATTAAAAATTTGCATAACACCTCAGACGCCTGTATCCCCTGGGGTGTCCATATCACCTTTTGAGGGTGGCTTTTTTTTGTGAGGTCCGTCAAGGGGGCGGCCAGCGAGGCGAAATGCTCTATGAAGCGCCAGTAGTATCCTGCCAGGCCTAAAAACTGGTGGACCTGTCACTTTGTCTGAGGGCGGGGGTAGTCCCGGATTGCCCGTACTTTATCTAGTAGAGGTTTCAACTGCCCATTGCCCACCGTATATCCTAAATACAATACCTCCCTTTTCCCGAACTGGCACTTCTTCGGGTTCGCGGTGAGACCTGCCCGCCGAAGCACCAGAAGCACGGCTTCCAGTTGCCATAGGTGGTCTTCCCAGGAATTGCTAAAAATTAGTCTCGGTGAGCCTCCAAGACCTGGTCTATCAGCCGCTGGAAGGTGGCTGCCGTGCCATGTAATCCGAACGGCATGGCAACAAACTGAAATAGGCCAAAGGGGGTGGCAAACGCCGTCTTTTCTTTTGACGCGGAAGCTAGCGGGATCTGCCAATAACCCTTGGATAGGTCGATGGTTGACAAATATTTGGCCTGTCCCAATCGTTCTAGGAGCTCTTTGACTCTCGGCATGGGATAGGTGTCGAACTTGGACACTGCATTTATCTTGCGGAAATCAATACAAAAGCGCATGGTCCCATCCTTTTTTGGGACTATAACGATTGGGCTACGCCAGTCACTTCTCGACTTTTCTACCACCCCCCACCGGATCATATCCTGCAGTTCCTTATGTACGGTGGTCCATAGTTTTCGGGGGATGGGGCGTACCGGGTCTCTTACTTTCTGGCTGGTGTCGGTGTCGATTTCGTGGCATGTCAGGGTCGTTCTTCCGGGTTTGCTCGTTAGATTGGCCGCCGAGCATCGTAAGATCTCCCGCAGTTGCTCCTGTTGGGTACAACTCAATTCTGCCTCCACGAGGCTGGCTGTCCATGTTACCTCTTCCTCCCCCCACGGCCCAAACTTGATATCAGTGCTAAGGGCCTCTACCGGGGGTGCCTCCCGAGTTACCCAGCGTTTTAATAAGTTTACATGGTACACTTGGCTCTTGCGCCGTTTCCCCCCTACCTGCACTTCGTAATCCACTTCCCCAATCCTCCTCATCACCTGGTAGGGTGCTACCTGCACTTCGTAATCCACTTCCCCGATCCTCCTCAACACCCGGTAGGGTCCTTGCCACTTGGCTAATAGCTTGGAGTCCCCCACGGGTAATAACACTAAAACCAGGTCCCCTGGGTTAAAGGTTCTTGTTTACATTGGCTAATAGCTTGGAGTCCCCCACGGGTAATAACACTAAAACTGGGTCCCCTGGGTTAAAGGTTCTTGTTCGCGCCCCTCTGTTGTAGTAGCGGGCTTGCGTCTCCTGTGCCCACTGCAAATTTTCTTGGGCCCACCGCCCTACCATCTTCTCCTGTGCCCACTGCAAATTTTCTTGGGCCCACCGCCCTACTGTCCACATCTTATTTTGTAACTTAACTATATATTGGACAGCCCCTAACACCGACGAGGTTTGCTCTTCCCACCCCTCCCTTACCAGGTCTAAGATCCCGTGGGGCCGCCGCCCATATAGCAGCTCGAACGGGGAATATCCCACCGAGGCTTGGGGCACTTCACGTATTGCGAAGAGCAGGTGCGATAACAGCTTATCCCAGTCTCGTGGGTCGTCTTGGGCCAGCCTCCTCAACGTTGCCTTCAGTGTTTGATTGAAACGTTCGACGAGCCCGTCCGTCTGGGGGTGGTATGCCGCCGTGCGGATCTTCTTCACCTGTAACCATCTACACAATTCGGTCATTGGTCCTGGTCCTTCAGGATCTCTTTGGGGAGCCCGACCCATGCGAACATCTTCATCAACTCGTCCGCGATCGTGGCCGCACTAGTCTTACGCAAAGGGACAGCTTTGGGGTAGCGCGTGGCGTAGTCTACCACCACCAATATGTACTGGTGTCGCCTCCGCATGCGCTCGAGGGGCCCCACGAAATCCATACCCACGTGCTCAAAGGGCTCCGCCACCAGAGGCATGGGGATCAACTCTGCTCATGGCACCCTTGCCCCTGCCGTCCTTTGGCACTGCGGGCAGGAGGCACAAAAGTTCTTAATGTCCTGATAAAGACCGGGCCAATAAAAGCGTTGGAGTACCCGTTGTTGGGTCTTCTCCATCCCTAAGTGTCCCGCCCATGGGTTATCGTGTGCCAGTTCCATTATCCGCCATCTGTAGGCTCTAGGCACGATCAGCTGGGCGTCCTCTTCTCCCAACCCTGCGTCCCCCCGGATTCGGTATAACCGATCCCCCTGGATCTCAAAATACGGGCCTTGCCTGTGTTTCTTGCTGGTTCCTCCTC